GAAGGATAGAAGAGATACTAAGGTACAAAAGGAGATAAGTCTATTATAAAGGTCCGTGCGTTCTTTAGCTTTGGCATTCCTTGGCTGAATTGTTTGTTTCCTCCCCTTACACTTTAATAATAAAGCCATAACTATACCCGTCACTCTTACTAAAAATAGCTTTTCGTATAAAGTATTTGCTTTGTTCGACTTAAAAATTAATAAGTACGCATTAATTGACTTAGCGCTACTCAAATCACTTTCTTTCTTTCTTAAACTTTTAATTTAACGCTTCCCGGCCTTATTTTTTATTAAATCGTATAATAAAGCTCGTAAAGCTATTATCTTATATTTTGCACTTCTTAACCTTACGGTTAATAAGCGCGTTTAATCTTTTACTCTTTTTTTTATTACTAGCTTTAAAAATCATAACGTAATCTTCGGACGAGTATAACTAATTAAGCATTAGATTCTTTTTAATTGCGCTCGCCGCAAGCTTTATTAGCTTCGTTCTAACCTTTCGACCGCTATTTACGCTAAACATATTAAGATTATATACTTTAATTAGCGTAAAGTAAACGCTTGTTATTAATACGACGCTAATAAGCGTAATCGAGCTTTAAACCGCTTTTAAAAAGCTTACGACGCTAATTCACTTATAAACTATAATTTATAAGTGAATCAAATAGCAACGATAATCGCAAAATCACTTTTTTTTTTTTAGAATCGTCTTCTTTCCGTTTTCTTTTTTAAAGTCGTTAAACCCTTTTCTTTTATTCACTTTCTCGTAAAGCCGTTACTCTTTCGCTTTACGAAAAACACTTTTTTTAAAGATTACGTTAAATTAATATCTTAGATAAACCGTAAGCTTATATCAACCGATATCGCTTTCGTAAAATCTTTTTTATTCGTTAAACGCTTTCGCTAAACATTTAAGCACAAAATCAATAGAAACCTTAAAATCAACGGCGTTTTCAAACACGCTTTTTATATAATCGCTCGTTAAAAAGACGTAAAACTATTTTTTACGTCTTTTTACGAGCTCGATTACTTGATCTTCGAGCGTTAAACGATTGCTTTTATTCAAGCTAACTATTAAGCAGCGCTAACACGCTTTACTAACGGCTTTATCTTTGCTATTGATTTTGCAACGGAACTATTAAAGCTTATTAACGACTTTCTTATACTTTTCGAGTACTCCGATTACGCATACGTATTCTTTAAAGCCGCTAGCAACGTGCTAGTATTATATAAGCCTTACGAATATAAAATCGAGCTTTTCGAAAAAAAAGAAAAAGCGTTTCGATACTTATTATTATATAAAATATCGATCTTTAAGCTAAAGCTTATTAAAGCTTATTTTATCGACAATCTTAATAAAAGTTTTATCGAACTTTTAATAGCGTCATTTGCAACTCTAATCCTTTTTGTTAAAAAGCAAAACGGTTCTTTTTGCTTTTATATTGACTTCCGCGCGCTAAACAACCTTATTCGTAAAGATCGATACCTTTTCTTTTTAATCGATAAGACTTTCGCACGTTTTTTAAGAGTTAAAATCTTTACGAAACTCGACATTCGGTAAACCTTTTATAAAATACAAATAAACTTAGCTTCCGAAAAGCTTATAATATTCAAAACACGCTACGATGCTTACAAGTGCAAAGTTCTTTTATTCGAACTAATTAATAGACCCGCTATTTACTAACGCTATATAAATGACCTTTTCTTCGACTTCTTAAACATCTTTTGCATAGCATATTTAAACGATATCTTGATTTACTCCTCCGACTTTTTAAAGCACGCTTATTACGTCCGATAAGTTTTCTAACGACTCGACGACGTTAACTTTTAAGCTAATATTAAAAAGTGCGAATTCAATATTATTAAAGTAAAATACTTAAGCTTTATTATCTTTATCGAAAGCTTAAAAGTAGATTCGAATAAGACTTCGATAATAAAGCATTAAGCGCTTTTTATAACCGTCAAAAGCGTTTAAAGCTTCTTTAGATTTTATAATTTTTACCGCCGATTTATTAAAGATTACAACGTGATCGCAAAGCCTTTAATGCATTTAACTAAAGCTAACGTTCCTTTTTCATTTAATTCTTAATATTAAAAAAGCTTCGACCTGTTAAAGCTCGCTTTAATTATTACGCTAATTTTATAGCATTACAACCAAAACCTCTTTTATATATTAAAAACTAACGCTTCCGATAGCGTAATCGCTTCAGTCCTCTTTTAAAAGCATAGTTCCGATTAGCTACTAATCGCTTACTACTTTAAAACTATAGCTTTCGTTAAGCTCAATTACGTCGTTTACGATAAAAAGATACTAGCTATTATACGCTTTTTTAATAACTTTCGCGCCGAACTCGCCGGCTCTTTTTATTAAGTTCAAATAATCATCGACCATAAAGCTTTAAAGTACTTCATAACTTTTAAGACTTTTAACGCTCGTCAAGCACGCTAAGCAAAGCTTTTTTTCGATTACAACTTTATTATTACGTATAAACTAAGTAAAGACAACCTTTTAGCTAACGCGCTAATACGTCGCACCGAAGAGCTCTTTTCTTAAAACAACCTTAAGCGTACTTAACGCTTGCAAACGCTGCTCCGCGCCGATAACGTTGACTTACGACTTTTAATCGAAAAGCTACGCTAACTTACGCTTTCGAAAACCGCCGTTATTATCGAAAAGATCGCAAAGCTCTTACCGATATTCCGAGTTATTAACTAAATCTTAAAAGCTAATCGAACCGCTTTTAGTTTCATAACACTTTGAATTTAAGCTTTTAAAGTTAAATCTTTATTCGTAAACTATAGTTCATAAACTAAACTCATTATAAAAAGCGACTTACTGTTTTATAACGACCGCTTATTAATTCCCGACGTTTAAAACTTGCGCTCGTTACTCGTCCGAAAAGTCTATAACCAAGTATTTACAATACACTCGAGCTTTCGCAAAACTTATAAGCTCTTTTGTCGGTATATTTATATCGACCTTAGCTAGTAAATAGTAGTTAGGGGGAGCTCACTCATGAACCAGGGTTCACGGGCCACTAAGCATGCTTCGCTTAGCTTATCACAGGTCCGAAAGACCCCCCTTAACCTGCTTATAAACCTAGTATTTAGCTAGTACACGTGACTCCTTCCTATTGTATAGAAAGAGTCAGCTTTCTTAGAACAAGAACAATAAGCAACAATTGAGTATTTTACCATCGAGTGTTTTGCAATTGCAAGTACTTTAACGACGTAACGACTTTTACGAATATATTACGAAAGATCGCTACCGGCGATCCAACACTGATCAATAATTGTTTAATCGCCAAAGCGTTACTCAATCACAAAGAAACTAAGATCGATCGAAGAGTTAAGACTTTACTTCTACTTACTCGAAGAGTATAAAAGTAATGAATTTACGCTATAAGAAACCTGCAACCGCAATGAAAATCACTTACCTTTTACTACGATACCTCCCTCCTTCTACAACGGAAAAGCGATTCCGTACCAAGTCGCTTTCTTACACTTCGATACCTTTACACCTTTCCACGAAAGAGCGATTCCGTACCAAGTCGCTTTCTTACACCTCGAATACCTTATTTACTACGGAAAAGTGATTCCGAACCAAGTCACTTATATACAACAATACTATCAACGCTATAGAGCCACGCTAGCTACACATAGCAATACAACAATACTATCAACGCTGTAAAGCTACGCTAGCTACACACAGCAATACAACAACATGCAGTCAATCGATCCTTAAAGCGGAGAGAGTGGCAAACAAAGAGCTTCTAAAACGTTAGCAAAAGCTCAAGCAACAAAGACACCGGACCCTTTTTCGAGACCCGCGGAACCTCCCTCAATACTACCGAACGACCTAAGCACTCGGAATACCCTCGAAGCCTTAAACGAAGACGCGTCGGACCTCGGTTTTGACCTTGATTCACTATTATATCCGAAGCCGGAGAGTCATATAAAAGCGAGATCGATTATCGAAGACTTCTTAGATATAAAAAGTAAAGGATTAAAAGACCACGAGCTTTAGTTTTTATTTCGACACGCATTTGCTAAATAAAGCGCGAACGAGTTCTTTTTAATCGCTAAACAAGCACACGGCCGAAAAAGCAAGTTTACGTTGCTTATTAAGCTAAGGGATTACTTATTGTCTAAAAGAGTCTAGTGCCTCCTAAAGCAAAGAGGCTACGCCAATAGACTAGCCTCAATCATACAAATAGAGGAAGAGCATCAATAGACCTAAGAAGAACAGCGAGCGCAGCAAGCAGCAATCGAAAGATTTGATTCTAAGTAGAACGAAGTTACTATTGCACGCCTTAATCGACAAACTAAAGAAGTCGCTAAAATTCAAAGTAAACAAGTCGAAAGGTTTCCTCAATCAAGCCTTATTCGTCTTACCAAAATTATCGACGAACCTTTACCTTCACTTCCACCTTCAACTCTAAATTCGCTCCGCCAATCACTCCGAAAAAAGTACGAAGAGCTTCGACGCTAAAAAGAAGCAATTGCGCGAGACCTCGACGACCTCCGAAATTTAACGATTACGAAAGACGTGCAACAGCGTAAAGAAAGAATCGAAGAAGCTATAAAGCACAAAGAGGAGCTCGAGGCAGCTAAAGCAGCAAAGCAATCATCAAAGCGCAGTTCTCGCAGTTCTCGCGATTCACTTTCCTTTCCCGTTCCTTTATTACTCTAGCTAGCGATTTTATCACCGAAAGAATACGCGAAAGAGTATAACGACCCTTAAATTCAAGAAAAATTTTCCTCTTACTAAAGACAACGTAAAGATCTTCGATCTAATTCGCAGCAAGACCAAAGCAATAGATACCGCTAAAGCTGAGCTTAAAGATACGAGCAGAAAAGAAAGCAAGCTCTTACTAGCGACTTTAGCGATCCAAATAGCTCGGACGGTGATCTAGAAAAAGGGAATAAAAAAGGAAGCGAGTAGAATAAGCACGGAAGAAGAAGAAGAAAACACGATGGCCCGACGAAAGAACAAAGAAATGAGCCGCCAAAAGACCTTAGACGAGGCCCTGGACGAAGATACGAACCCCCCGGCGGACCCGGGCCAAACCGACCCCTTACCAGCACCCCTTTTTCGACCCGAGTGCTGGCCAAGCATAGCACACCTACGTACGGCACCTTAAGCGACCTTGACGACGACGACTTTCTTAAGCTCGAAACGGCGGACCCATATCCGAAAGCGAAAGAGTTAGCTTTATTTGCAAAAAGTTTTCTTAAGGAATTGAAATATTCAAGTCTTAAGAACGACTTTAATACTCGGCTCAAGATTTTTGCCGATCACGCGTGCCGATACAAGTTGACAACTAACGATTACTTAGCTGCTTTCCTTATTATGCTAACAAAAGAGGCAATTAGGTTTTATTACAACTACGTAATCAAAGCTAAGCTATCTACTTTCAAAGCAAACGCTATTGCGGTAAAGGACCACTTTAAGACTGATTAACGGCGGCAAGTAAAATACGACCGATAAAAAGAAATTTCGCTAGAATTAATCAAAAAAAAGAATCCAAAGACCTCGCTTAGCAAGTGCTTCGAAAAACTCGCTAAAGAGCTCAAAGGCATTCAAGGCTCATTACGATCAAGCCTTAAAGACGATAAGAGCCTTGCCGACAAGCTATATTCAGCTTGTAAAAACGTGCCAAAGACGACTATAGCTCGGATAAACCCCGCCTCTACCTTTACCGCCGCAATTGCTGATATTCGCCGAGCAATTGCGTTTGCAACTGAAAGCTTACGACCTCCCGCCAAAGCAAGCAGAGCTTACGCGAGCTCTAGCGAGCCATTTGCTCAGCACCCCTCTCAGCACTCCTCTCAGCACTCCTCTTAGCACTCTCCTCAGCACTCTTTTCAGCACTCCTCTCAGACCTCCCCTTAGCAAACCTCAAGCAAGGCTGATTCCGACGACCTTAAGAACGAGTACGAGTGTTTTATTCAAGGCTGCTAATACGGAAGAGAGCACTATAAGCACTTCGCAAAGTAACGAAGTTTAAAAAAGGATAAGACCTGTTTCAAAAAGAGTTTTTCTTTGTTCTTTGCGTTTGAATTTTTGTTGTTTTTTATTTATTTACTACTTTCTTTTTTTTTTCGGTCGATATAATAATTAGCAAAGCACTGTTTGCCAAAAAAAGTTTTACCGGTGTCGGTATATTTATATCGACCTTAACTAATAAATAGTAATTGAAAGGAGCTCACTCATGAACCAAGGTTCACGGGCCACTAAGCATGCTTCGCTTAGCTTATCACAAGTCCGGAAGACCCCCTTTAACCTGCTTGTAAACCTAGTATTTAGCTAGTATACGTGACTCCTTCTTATTATATAGAAGGAGTCAGCTTTCTTAGAACAAGAACAACAAGCAACAATTGAGTATTTTACCACCGAGTGTTTTGCAATTGCAAGTACTTTGACGACGTAACGACTTTTACGAATATATTACGAGAGATCGCTACCGGCGATCCAACATCTTTATAACACAATACTACTAGCATAGCATAGCTAGATTCGTTAACTAATACTACCGCAACTGCTACGCTTGCAAACGAGCTTTAATGCTTCGCGATAAAAAACTTAGTTTGCTTTAACCTCTTTCGATCCTTTCGCGCTTTTAAAAGCACGTTATTATAGATTTTTATAACTTTAATAAAGATAAACACGGTTACGATAACGTCTTTATAATAATCGACCGCTTTTTTAAGCAAGCAATCTCGATCTTTTATTACAAGTCTATCGACGTTAAAAGCTTCGCTAAGCTTTATATTTACTATATCTATAAGTATTTTAAAGCTCTTTTAACACTAACTTCTAATAAAAAACTTTAATACTAATCCGAGTTTTAAAAAAAATTTAATAAAATCTTCGACACTAAACTAACCTTTAGCATCGCCGTACATTTTAAAATTAACGGTCAAACCGAAATCTATAACTAGTACTTACAAAAGCGCTTCCGTCCTTTCGTAAGCTACTATTAAAACGATTAAAGCGAGTTCCTTTTTATAATAGACTTCGCTTAATTAACGCTCTCTTACGACTCTTTCGGCGGTCTTTCTTTTTTTAAAGTAATCTACGGCTACGCTTCTCGGACCACTTAAAATTAAAGCTTAAAACGACTTAACGACTAAACCTCTTTTCGTAAGCTTAATTAAAACGAAGCTCGCGCTTACGCTAACCGCTACTTCAAAGCTTAAAACCTCGCTAAAAAGCACTTTTAACGCGCTTAAGACCGTATAGTTAAACAAGCTAATAAATCAAAGCGCTCGATCGATTTCGACGTTAATAATAAAGTTTAATTAAATATACGCTCGTTCTTTATCTTTCGACCGTTAAAAAAGCTCGATAACCTTACGAACGGACCGTTCGAAGTTATCAATAACGTTTATAATAGCTTTAAACTCAAGCTCTTCGAGTTAATAAAAGTCTATTTAATCTTTTACTTTAAACAGCTATAGAAAGCTTTTAATAACTTTACTTTCGAGCAAATCATTTTTAAACTTAACTCGATTAATATTATTAGCGAACTTAAGTACAAAGTAAAAAACATTTTAATTATACGCTAAATTAAAAAGCACTTTAAATACCGCGCTTCTTAACTCGGCCGCAATATTAACTTTATTTAATACTTCGCTTCCGACTTTATATACGCTCTTTTTAAAGTACGTAACTTTTATTTAAAACACAAAAAGCTTTTCGGCTTTCTCGCGAAGCTCTTCGAATAAATCAAAGCTTATTTAAACGGTATTAATAACTACGATCACTTAAGCAATAATAAAGCAATAGATAAACGCTCGAAAACGAGCTTTTTTCGAACGGGAAAGTAGTATAACGACACGTTAAGTCTCTTAAACGCATCTTATATACGCTAAGCTACTTCTTTCTTTTTTTCTTTCGTATTCTTCGTATTCTCTTATTCTCCGCTTTTAACTTATAAACTATAATTCACGAGTTTTTAACGTTTTCACCTTCGTATATATAAACCTTAGCTACTTTCGACTTTTACACTCGATAGTTATTGATTCTAAGTTATTACTTTAAGATTCTCTTAAGCTCTTATATAAACCTTCGCGCTCCCGTAAGTTCTTTTAAGTAATCGCTTAAGGTCGTCACAATGCCGTATTTAACGGACTTTTCTTTTGCTCGAGATGTATTTAATTAAACTTTAAAGTATCTTTTTTAAAATGCTCGTAGTTAAAGCAAGCTAGCGGTAAAGAAATTAACTGCTCCGCTATTAATTATAAGGCTTATAAATACGTTTTCCGAATACTTAAAAGTCATATAAGTCTTTGCTTTGCTCGCGAGTATACGCGGATCTTACTCGAGCATCTTTTAAGTCTTTACTTAGCTAGTAAAAGCGTAGAATGCCGTTTAAATCTTTAGTTGTTTATATGACGACCTTAAGCGATTACCTGAAGGAATTTACGGGAGCGCGGAGTTTATATAAAAGCTCAGGAAGATCTTAAAGTAATAATTTAAAATTAATAACTATCGAGTATAAAAGTCGAAAGAAGCTAAGGTTTATATACACGAAAGTAAAAGCGCTAAAGACTCGTGAATTATAATTTATAAATCAAAAGCGAAAAATAAAAGAATACGAAAAATACGAAGAAAAAAAGAAAAGAAATAGCTTAGCGCATATAAAGTGCGTTTAAAAGACTTAGCGTATCGTTACACTACTTTTCCGTTCGAAAAAAGCTCGTCTTCGAGCGTCTATCTATTGCTTTATTATTGCTTAAGTGATCGTAATTATCAATACCGTTCGAATAAGCTTTAATTTATTCGAAAAGCTTCGCGAGAAAGCCGAAAAGCTTTTTGTGTTTTAAATAGAAGTCACGTATTTTAAAAAGAGCGTATATAAAATCGAAAGCGAGGTACTAAGTAAAGTTAATATCGCGTCCGAGCTAAAAAGCGCGGTATTTAAAATGCTTTTTAATTTAGCGTACGGTTAAAATGTTTTCTATTTCGTACTTAAGTTCGCTAATAATATTAATCGAGTTAAGTTTAAAAATGATTTGCTTAAAAGTAAAGTTATTAAAAGCTTTTCGTAATCGTTCGAAATAAAAGATTAAATAAACTTTTATTAACTTAAAGAGCTTAAGTTTAAAACTGTTATAAACGTTATCGAAAACTTCGAACGGTCCGTTCGTCGGATTATTAAGCTTCTTTAACGATCGAAAAGTAAAGAACGAGCGCATATCTAATTAAACTTTATTATTAACGTTAAAGTCAATTAAGCGCTTTGATTTATTAGCTTGTTTAGCTATACGGTCTTAAGCGCGTTAGAAATGCTCTTTAGCGAAGTTCTAAGCTTTAAAGTAGCGATTAACGTAAGCGCGAGCTTCGTTTTAATTAAGTTTGCGAGAAAAGGTTTAATTATTAAATCGTTTTAAGCTTTAATTCTAAATGGTCCGAAAAGCGTAGCCGTAGATTACTTTAAAAGAGGAAAGACCGCCGAAAGAGTCGTAAAAGAGCGTTAATTAAACGAAGTCTATTATAAAAAGGAACTCGCTTTAATCGTCTTAATAATAGCTTACGAAAAGACGAAAGCGCTTTTGCAAATACTAATTATAAATTTCGGTTTAACCGTTAATCTTAAAGTATACGGCGATATTAAAAGTCAATTTAGTGCCGAAGATCTTATTAAATTCTTTTTAGAACTCGGACTAGTATTAAAGTCTTTTATCAAAAGTCAATATTAAAAAGGCTTTAAAATACTTATAAATATAATAAATATAAAGCTTAACGAAGCTTTTAATATCGATAGACTTATAATAAAGGATCGAGATTGCTTGCTTAAAAAAGCGGTCGATTATTATAAAGACGTTATCGTAGCCGTGTTTGTTTTTATTAAAGCTGCAAAAATCTATAATAACGTGCTTTTAAAAGCGCGAAAAGATCGAGAAAAGTTAAAGCAAACTAAGTTTTTTATCGCGAAGCATTAAAGCTCGTTTGCAAGCGTAATAATTGCGGCAATATTAATTAACGAATCTAGTTATATCGTACTAATAGTATTATATTGCAAAGAGCTTATAAGTTTTGCGAAAGCTAAAGTATGTTATAAATACTTGGTCGTAGACTTTTCGAACGAATAACGAGCGTAAGTTTTAAACGTCGAGAACTAATAAGCGGCTATTATAAAACAGCAAGTCGCCTTTTATAATAAGTTTAGCTCGTAAACCGTAATTCACGAGTAAGGACTCAACTTTAAAAGCTTGAATTCGAAGTGTTATAAAACTAAAAGCGGTCCGATTAGCTTTTAAGACTTAATTAATAACTTAAAATATCGATGAAAGCTCCGCGATCTTTTCGATAATAACGGCGGTCTTCGAAAGCGTAAGTTAGCGTAGCTCTTCGATTAAAAGTCGTAAGTCAACGTTATCGGCGTAAAACAGCGTTTGCAAGCGCTAAGTGCGCTTAAAGCTATTTTAAGAAAAGAGCTTTTCGATGCGATATATTAACGCGTTAGCTAATAAGTTGTCTTTACTTAGTTTATACGTAATAATAAAGTTATAATCGAAGAAAAGCTTTGCTTAGCGTGCTTAACGAGCGTTAAAAGTCTTAGAAGTTATAAAGTACTTTAAAGCTTTATAATCGATGATTACTTAAACTTAATAAGAAAAGCCGGCGAGTTCGGCGCGGAAGTTATTAAAAAAACGTATAATAATTAGCATTTCTTTATTGTAAACGACGTAATTGAGCTTAGCGAAAGCTATAGTTTTAAAGTAGTGTCGGTATCTCTATATCGACCTTAGCTAGCTAGTAGTAGTAGTTAGGGAAGCTCACCCGTGAACCATGGTTTACGGGCCACTTAGCATGCCTCGCTTAGCATGTCAGCAGTC